AGAAGGGGCACCTTGTAGCTGGTCTGTAGGGGTCAAGGGCAGGCCTGGCTTTCTGAAGTTGAACTAGAGTGACAAGAGAAGCTTATATAATGGGGCAGCCGAGGGTGTATATGTGTGCACTGGACTGCTGGCAAACCACAGCACACCTCCAGGGGACAGGAGTAAACAAAAGTTGGTAGGCTGGTGCCAGCCTGGCCCTGGGGGGAAATAAGTGCTCAGCACCTGGCTCCAGGGGTAAGAAGTGGGAGTTTCCCACCCTTTAGCAGGACCTGAAGCACAGGGCCAGGAGACCCAGGGAACAGGAACACCAGAAACTGCAGCCACACCAGAGGGCACTAGGGTCCTCCCGATAAGGAGCTGGCCACATTCTTTCCATATTTATGTAGAACCTACCATGTGGCCTGCAGGGAGTCCTAAAGGGAAAGAGAATAGCCTTGCTTCATGTGGGGAAGGAAATACCAGGATTCTCATATCTTCCTGCACAAAACAATTCCCCTGAAGCTGGCTAAAAACCCAGAGCCTAAAGGCTGGGCGCGGTGGCTCACGCCTGTAAATCCTAGCACTTTGGGGGGCCCAGGTGGGCAGATCAAGAGGTCAAGAGACCATCCTGGCCAACACGGTGAAACTCCGTCTCTACTAAAAATACAAAAATAGCCATGTGTGGTGGCGTGGGCCGGGGAGGCTGAGGCAGGAGAATCGCTTGAACCCAGGAGGCAGAAGGTTGCAGTGAGCCGAGATTGTGCCACTGCGCTCCAGCCTGGCAACAGAGTGAGACTCCGTCTCAAAAAACCCCCAGAGCCCAGACCCTAGCCCAGAGATTCTGACTTCCTGTGCCTGAGGTGGGACCCTAGGAATCTGAAATTAATTAATTATTTTTGAAGTGGGGAGGACAGGATCTCGCTCTGCCACCCAGGCTGTAGTGCAGTGACGCCATCATAGCTCACTGCAGCCTCTATCTTCCAGGCTCAAGCAATCCTCCTGCCTTGGCCTCCCAAAGTGCTGGGGTTGTTTTGGTTTTTGTTTTCTGTTTTGAAACAGGGTCTCGCTCTGCCACCAAGGCTGGAGTGCAGTGGCGCGATCTTGGCTTACTGCAACCTCTGCCTCCTGAACTCGAGCAGTCCTCCCGCCTCAGCCTCCTGAGTAGCTGCAGCTACAGGCACATGCCACCAAGCCTGGCTAATTTTTGTATTTTTAATAGAGATGAAAGGGTCTTGCCATGTTGCTCAGGCTGGTCTCAAACTCCTGAGCTCACGTGATCCACCTGCCTCAGCCTCCCAAAGTGCTGGGATTACAGGCGTGAGACGCTGCGCCTGGCCCAGAATCTGCATTTCAAATAAATGTCTGCGGTAGCTGTGAGCCGTCCCATTTAGAGGAACAGGGCAGGAAAGAGAGTCCTCTAGCAAACAAGGGTGTCCCATTGCTGGTGGCGGGTGCAGTGGTGGTAGATAAAGAATCTTGGCTCAGTTAATCCAAGACGCAAGGGAGGAGTCCTGAGTGACTGGCAGCTTTGTCTCCAGTAGCAGCCCAGTCCCTTATCTTGGGATTTGCAAAGATCCACATCTCTGCTTTCTCATGCATTTAAAAAAAAACACACACACAATCGTGTGGCCTTGCTTGGGCTGGGAGAGGGCAGAAGACTTCGTTAGGATTGCAAATGTATTCAGTGAAGGCCTCCTAATTGCTGGAATACATATTAGAGAAATTCTGTAAAGAAAAATTTTCTCGTCACCACCCTCACATGACTGTTTGCATTTACCCTCTGTACCCAGCCTACCCTTGTGCAAACAGATTTTTACATGGCTGCAACCACAGAGCAAACGGTTGATTACTGCTTCATTCCCTTACACATCCCTACATTGATTTTTCTCCCTGCCATTCCACCACCTGTTCTCCAAGGGCTGGATATCGCCAGCATCTCACCCCAGGCTCAAGGGGAATGTCACAGACTCAGGGGCCCTATGGAACTCTAATCCCACTCTCTGTGAGACATTTGAAATAGCCTTGTCATGGCTCAGTTTCCTCTAGTCTACAGTGTTAGCAAGAGGAGCTGAAGCAGGCAGGGGCAGGAAGTGCTCCATGCTGGGAATGATCTCACAGTAATAAATCATGCCTTGGAGCAGGGGCCAGTAAACTTTTTCTGTGCAGGGCCAAATAGTAAATATTTTAGCCTTTGCAGGCCATGAGGTCTTTTGTAGCTACTCAACTCTAGCCATAGACCATATGTAAATGAAGGGCATAGTTGGCTATGTTCTAACAAAACTTTATTCCCCAAAGCAGGCCATGGGCCAGAATGGAGCCAGGACTGTAATGTGCCAATCCTTGCTTTAGAGCAAGCTTGTCCAACTGGTGGCCCAACACAAATTTGTGAACTTTCTTAAAATATTATGAGGCGTTTTTTTTTTTTGCATTTTTTTGTTTTGTTTTTTAGCTCATCAGTTGTCATTAGTGTCAGTGTATTTTGTGTGGCCCAAGACAATTCTTCTTCCAATGTGACCCAGGAAAGCCAAAAGATTGGACACTCTGCTTTAGAGTTTTTCGTTTTAATGCTTTTCAAAGCACTGCCATAAATACTGCTTCAGGCAGTTACCCTGCAGGCAGCCTGGACACTATCCCCTTTAACAGAAGAAAAAACTGAGGCCCAGAGAGTGCTCAGCCCCACGTATTGACAGAGACAGGATGCCAAGTCAGGGCTGCACCTGCATCCCATCACAGAATCCCCAACACTGGTCCCTCCTCTCCCTAACTCCAAGCAGAGCAGGGAGGAGGACTTCTGCCACGCCCAGTGGCACCCCAGGGAACACCCCGGAAACACTGGGGCGCTGTTCTGCTGGACGCATGATGTTTTCCACCACTCCCTGTGCAGGCAAGACCAAGCTGAGTCAGCTGGAGGCCCAGCCCTGCCTTGAGGAACGGGAGGAGCTGTCCTTTGGGCTCCAGCTCTGCCCAGGCTGATGAGGGCAGCAGCTGGCTGGAGGTGACAGGGGACCAGGCCCTCTTCCCTCACCAGAGGTGCTGATGCCCACTAGCAGCCTGCACAGCCTAGGCAAAATGCAGAAGTGGCTGAGAGGCATGGCTGAGGCCTCCCCTTGAGGGAGGAAGGGGGTGTGTGTGTGGTATTTTCCACATAGATGCCCCTCAAGTAAAATTCACCATTGGATCGCCTTCCTCTGCAGAGTTAATTCAGCAAACCCGCTAAGAGTGTGATCTCTGGAGCCTGACTGCCTGGGTTCAAATATTGGTTCTGCCTCATAAGGGAGATTTTGGAGGTCATGGAAATGTTCTAAAACCAGATGGTGGTGATAGTTGCACAACTCTGTGTAAACAGTCTACTAAAAATCATTAAATTGTGGACTTAGAAAAATGCTGCCTCCAGCATTGAAAGTTGTGTGATCTTGGGCATATTATTTAACCTCCCCGTGCCTCAGTCTCCTCATCTGTCAAACAGGAATGATAATAATAGTGCCAGACTCCAGATGAGATTTCAATGAATCTGTAACACAAAGATTTTAGAATGGCATCTTGCACCTAAGAAGGGAATGATAAATGCTCTTTCCATGGTGCCTCCGTTGAGAGGGAAAGAAGTGTCCTGGCTCACAGGCACTTTCCCGCACACCTGTGTCTGGGAGTGCCTACACCATGCCTCCACTTGCCCTGCTCCTCCTGGTCTTTGCTTCTACTATTTGTTTTGCCAGGAATGCCCTTTCCTCTCAGCTTGAATGCTAGTTTCACTCAGAGGTCATCTCTCTTCTCTGCTTTTATGCTTAATAATCGTTTATAGCAAAGGCTCAGAAAGGACTAAATGGCATATGGTTAGTTCTGTTCACTCCGGATCTGAGATCCCTGTGCCAGGAAGAGGCAACACTTTGCCCTTCCTGCTCCTATCCACGGTGCCTTGTGTCCTGGCTGTATCCACGGTGCCTTGTGTCCTGGCTGTGGCAACCTGGGTGCTGAACTGAGTCCAACAGCAGGCACCAAGGCTATGACATCCACTGTGGGTCCCAGCACAGTGGCTATAAAGATCAGTGAAGATAATATGGTGAGAATGAAGGCAGGCAAGCTTAAGCAGTGATGGGTGTCCTTCCTTGGGCCTAGAAGCCACCCCCCCCCCAACCTGGGGGTTCCAGAGTCACATGTCATACACAAGAAATGGATTTCTGTCTCTAGCCGCTGGTTTCCCCTAGTTATAGAGAATACAGATTGCAAAATGAGGCAATGATAAGGTGACCCACAGCCAGAGCCTGGGGATAAGCCAGGGCGATGTTTTTAGAGGCCTGCAGAGACACACCAGTCTGATTCCGGGGTCAGCGGCAGCTGGCAGTCAGGGAGGGGGTTCCTTGGCCTCCACTGTCCCATTTCTGGCTCCTCGGTGTTAGCCCAGAGACAGCCCAGGTCCCAGGTTGACCTGGCAGGAGCCTGTGGCCCCAATAAGTGACTTGGTGTCACAAACAGGCTGGTAACCTGGTAGCAGCTGCGCCTGTTGTTTTTTCCTGGGCCTCACCTAGCCAGAGCCAAGTTTGTGAGCACCCAGAGAGCAGCCCCCTCTCTGCCACGTGGGCTGGGGAAACAGGGAGTGCAAAGGGTGAGGGAGGAGAATGCTCCTTAGCCCCCATTCTCCAGGAAAACTTTTGCTTCAGCCAGAATGGGGGTGTTGTAGCGGTGGGGGTCGGGGGAGATACCGCAAACCTCCGGAAGCCGTCCCGCTAACAGTAACACAAGCATCGGATTCGCCAAGTGGGGAATTAAACACCTCCAAGGAGGGCCTGGGGTCAGAGGTAGGGGCGGCAAAGTTCTCCCACCTACCCGTGGTGGGGGGGTCCCCTCTTTTCCCGCACCTCTCTCACCGCACGTCCCTTCCCAGACACCCCGGTGCGACGCCTCCTCTCCTGCCCGGCGGCTGCTCTTGGCCAGTCCGCAGGTTCCAACGTGTCCCTCCCCTCCGCGCCTCCAGGAGACAGCGCCGCCGGCCCTGCCCTAGCGCCCTTCGTCTCCGGAGCACTCACCGAAGCCCCTGGTCCCCTCCTCCGGGGCCTCCTGGGTGAAGATCCAGGGCGGGTTGGTGGCGTAGAGGGAGGTGCTGGGGCTGGTGGTGTGCTTCTTCCCGAAGAGTTTGCTGAAGGTGCCCTGCACGGTCTGGTTCTTTTTCATGCTGCCGCAGCCCGCGCGGGCGCCAGGGAAGGACCTTCCCTCCCTTGCCCTGCCCTGCCCCGGACTGAACTCCGCACGGTCTCCCCAGGGGACTCTACCAGGCCATGTCCCCCGCCGTCCTCCCCGCCCGCGCACCGGGCGACCTGTCTCTTATACACATCTAGATGTGTATAAGAGACAGACTCTAGCCATAGACCATATGTAAATGAAGGGCATAGTTGGCTATGTTCTAACAAAACTTTATTCCCCAAAGCAGGCCATGGGCCAGAATGGAGC